TCTCTCTCTCTATCTATCTATCTATCTCGCGCGCGCGCACACACACACACACACAGAGGGGAAACAATGGTCTTATTATTTCAGCTCCAAGCTTATCATCTGCGACAGTGGCCCAACAACACGAAAACAAAATTTGTAATTCAAACGGGACAAAAGGCACGTTCTGCTCGGCAGCAAGAAAAAGATAATCACAAACTCGCAAGTCACGGTGAAGCCAAAACTGTGTCCAGCACTAATATCGCTCAACCATTCAGCGGCGTCAAAGCAATGGTCAGCCAGACTTTGATTTGCCAACCAACACAGTCAAGATATGAAAAAAACACATAATCAACAAACAATGGCTCAGATGCAATTCGCTGAATTGCACACTATGGACATCAACAAACACTACAAATCAAGACATACCAAGTCACCTGCAGCTCAAGTAGGAACTTCGTGGTACTCAGACACTCATCATTGGAGTTGAATAAATGCAGGGATCTGGTTTCAGCACTGAGGCAGGTCTTCAATGGTAGAGCTGGACACATCGCGAGGGTCCCCTCTGGTTGGGTGGTTGGTTGCCCGGTTGATAGGAAAGGAGGTAGGTAGGTAGGTAGGCAGCCAGGTAGGTAGGTACGGAGGTAGGATTGCCGAGAGGTAGGCAGGCTGGCAGGGGCATAGGCTGGCAGGCAGGAAGGGAGGGAGGCGGGCAGACGGAGAGGGAGAAAGGAAGGAAGGGAGGGAAACAGCCAGCGAGGGAGGCAAGCAGGGAGGCAGACAGCAGGGAACAGGGAGGGGACAGGGAGAGAACAGGGAGGGGACAGAGAGGGGACAGGGAGGAGACAGGGAGGGGGACGTGGCAGGAAGAGTGCGCGCAGGGAGAAGGGCGGCAGGGGAAGCGGGTGAGCGTGGGTGCGGGCGGGAGGGAGTGGGGTGGGCTGCACGGAGGCAGGCGGGGGGGCTGGTCGGTGGCTCAGGTGGGGGTGGCCTGCGGGGTGGGTCGTCGGGTGGGTCATTGGGTGAGTCTGTGGGTGCATTGGTGCATCGGGCGGCGGGTTGCTTAGTGGGCTGGTCAGTCGGTGGGTCAGTGGGTCGGTTGGTTGGTTAGCAGGTCGTTAGGCAGGTCTGTAGGCAGGCAGGGAGGTAGGCAGGGAAGGAGGCAGGGAGGCGGGCAGTCGAACTGTGAGGACAGGAGGTAGGTAGGTAGGTAGGTAGGGAGGGAGGGAGGGAGGCAGGGACAGACGGGGAAGAGAGAGGGGGGAGGGAGGGAGGCAGGCAGGTAGGGAAGCAAGGAAGGGAGCAGGGAGGGAGGCGAGGAGGGAGGCCCGGATGTCAGCAAGGAGGGCAGAAAAGGCAGGGAGGTAGTGAAGGGGCAGGGAGGAAGGGAGATATGAAGGTGGCGGACAGGGAGGCAGGGAAGCAGGCAGGCAGGGATGCAGCAGGTAGGCAGGACAGTAGGCAGGTGGATAGGTAGTTAGGTGTGCAGGTAGGTAGGTGGGCAGGTCAGTCGGCAGGTTGGCACGTAGGATGGTGGTACGTAGGTAGGTCGGCAGGTAGGTAGGTCGGTCAGTGGGTGGATATGACGGTCGGTGGGTAGGTTGATCAGTAGCTAGGCAGTCGGTCACTCGGTCAGTCTGTGGATCGGCAGGTGGATCGGCAGGTGGATCGGCCGGTGGATCGGCCGGTGAATGCCGGTGGTTCGGCTGGCATGTAGGTCGGTGGGTGGGTCGGCTGGCATGTAGGTCAATGTAAGTGGACACGTAGATGGGTGGGTGGGTGGGTGGGTACGTGTGTAGGGGGGTGGATGGGTGGATTGGTGGGTGGGTGGGTAGGTAGGTGGGTAGGTAGGTTGGCAGGTACGTGGTTTGGTAGGTACGTAGATAGGTAGATAGGTGGGTGGGTAGGTGGGTAGGTAGGTAGGTATGCAGGCAGGTTGGTAGGGACGGAGGTGCGTACGTCGTGGGTAGGTAGGTAGGTATAACATATGTACATTGGTTTAAGTGTGTATCCATGTTTCTAGGGCACTTGTTGGACAAGAGCGTCTGGACAACTAGCTGTAACTTAACGCAGGTATATTATGCATGTAGTATGTACCCATGTTTCTCAGGCACTTGTATGCTGAGTGTGAAGATAACATAATGTACGTATGTGTGTATAAATGTACGACCTGATGTGCATATGTAATGTATGTACCCAGGAGTTGCTCAGGCACATGATTGCTGAGCTTGACACACAGGAAGCACCGGCATGGTTCTACTGAGCTGTGATACTGACTGGGTTACACAACATGTGCACAGAAGAAGAAAAACGAGAAAAGAAAGGGTAGTAAATTTTCAGAAAGTAGAGCAAATGAAGACTCTAGATAACCAAGCAATTGAATGAGGAGTGACCGGAAATCAGTACCGGGGCAATATGCCTACTCTGCTGGACCTGCGTGATGGTGTATATCTGGAATGAGAACGCATAGCAACAGATTACAGCAGAGAGGGCATTGCAGAGACTGATGCCTTCCGCCTGTAAGTCTCACATGTGGGTGGAAAACTTTTTGCTAAATACCATAATACAATTATACATCGACACTTGCAGAAAACATTATGGTCCGATCGTCTCAACCAGTAGCGTGTCTCCCTGCTCATCCATTTATCCATCGTAAATGTGTGAATCAGACTCTTTCCTCGGCAACACACCTTCCCCATACCTGCCCTGCCAGTTGCCAGATTGCCAAAAAACACAGAGGCCTGAACGCCCGACAAAAGCAGTCTCCTTTCATTCCAAGAACATGTACTCAACAAGCAAGCCACTGTACTGCTAACCAGCCACACAGCCATACCGACTGTACAATAGACACACATCTCATTGCTGCCCAATCCATGGCCCAGGTGACAGGCCCACAAGCCAGTGATCAGCTACCCGCATATATGCAAAAAGAGAAAGAGCACACGACTTACATCTCATTTTCTTCTTCCTTCCTTGCTATCTATTGCTGCCACTGCAGTTGAGCAGCGGCTGTCAGATCGGATCCTGCAGCGCACCCACATCTCACGAAGCTCTCTGCTGCTGGTTGTGTTTCAAAAGCAATTCTTGTGATGCTGGTGATTTTGACTTTCACTCGACTTGTGTGTCCTCCTCCTCGTTGTCACTGCCAGCAACGGAGGAGTCTACACCCCCCCGCCCAGGATTATTGCGTGGCAGTGGTCCTAAGAACTCTGCCATAATGTCAAAGAAAGGTGGTGTCTTGATCTTCTTCCTGACTTCTTCATCTACTTCACAATATTTCACATACGGTTTCCGCAAGTTTCGGTACTTATTCTCCAATTGCGTTGCTGTCAAGGGAAACTTCGTCACCTCCCGAACATAGTCCCACTTTTTTGCACTCGTAACACCCCCACTTTTTTTCGTTGCCAGAACAGAGTGCTCACGCATGGTCCTGAAGAGGGTGAGCACTCTTTCCCTTGACCACACAAACTTTCCCCCGTCGATGGTCTTGCAAAACTGAACTGCGCTCTCCCCATCCTCACCCTCCCCTCCATCCTCCCAATCCTCGTCACGGTCCTCTCCACCGATCTCACTTGCCACGGAGCTCAACCTTTCACGCCCTGCCAACAGCACTTGGGTGCTAACAGCTCTGGCTTTGGTAGGATCGCACACGACAATGCTCTGCTTCAGTAACTCATGATCAGGCGTCATACTCCGTTTTCCTACCTCCTTCACGCAAGAAGATCCACCATGCCTTGAGCTTTCATCTGCCAGAGGATAAGCTTGGTGCCATTCCAGCCCAGTCACAGGTGTTGAATCCCCTCCAACGCTCCGTCTTCCAGAAGGTCCTTGTTTTGAGCTCTTCCTTGCTGAACAGGGCCCTTGTTTTTGCCCCTCTTTCGCAGTGGAGGATCCCTGCTTCATGGTACCCTTCCCCAAACCAGGCCCTTGCCTTCTCACATCCACTGGTCCATCTGTCGGGACTGGCGATGGTGGCACCTTTGCACTTCTCGATGCTGGTCCTGGGTCTGTTCCTCCGCCATCTAACTGGAACATCTGGTCAACTAGGTCCTCATTGTCGCCTTGTCCATGTGTAGCTGAGCCAATGGCGTCAGGTGGTGTCATTCCTTGTGCTGGGACTGCACCACCATCAGGTGAGGAACGAGAATGGTCGTCTTCAGTGGCAACAGTGCCTCCCTGTCAACATGAAGAATCAGCCTCGAGTGTTTTATGCTTACTTGTCCTGTTGCTTGCCAAAGCATCACCCGCCGTAGACTAAAGGGTTGGGGAGGCTGGGCGGCAGGGGAGTGGAAAGAGAGAGGGAAAAGTGGTTTGGCAGAGGGAGCAACTACCTTGCACGAACAACGGGGGACACCAAGCCACAGAAGAGGCAAGAGGAAAGCACATGAAGCCCATCATTACCCTTAACAGAAAGCTGGTACTGAAGTGACTGTGTTTCTCTTTATCCACCACCTTCCCCATGACGCCTGTTCCAGCTGGGACACCCGCTTGTGATTTGAAGCCGGAATAACACTTAGCAATGCATATCATAACATGTTACCCAAGTGCGGCACCGCAAGCCAGCTGCCAGAGGAGGATAGATGATAGGAGGATCAATGCTGGCAGGAAAATCCAAACACCAACACAAATCGCCACGAGCTTACCCGCCCTTTACAAACACGTCGCCACAGACTTCTTAACATATACATACCAAACATCCTGATAGATGACCGAGCGACAGATACGCCGATAACACAGATACACATGCTGTGTATGCACACCCCCTGGCCCCCGCTAGGTTTAGAGGGGAGTACACTTTCTTCACCTGACCAAAAACCTGACCCTAACAAAGGGGTGTTAGTGGGTCCTTGCTCGCAATCATTTCTAGCCCAAAGTAACAGTTGCATGCATGAACCCTGCATTTCTCGTTGAAAAATAGCGCACATACCACATTCGAGGCTCCGCAGTGCATGGCCCCAGGAAAGTAACCCCACTCAGAATAGCACAACGGAGAACATAGTCACAGGACAGCAAACAAGTTGAAAGAACCCTTGACAATCCAAGGGAAGAACAATGGGATTCATCGACGGAGGCCATTAAATGTCATA